CCTCTGAACTTTTTCCAGCTTCGTCTTGTGCTTGACAAGGTACGGGCTCCATGCTGGGGCCGCATACTCCAGGATTGGTCTTACATATGTGGTGTACAAGATTCTGAATGATTCCTTACACAGGTTCCTGAACGCTGTTCTGATGTTAGCCAGCCTCGCATATGCCGCAGACGTTATTCTTTTTATGTGGGCTTCAGGAGACAGGTTTGGTGTGATATCAACTCCTAGATCTTTCTCTCTGTCTGTTTCATTAAGTACTTCATCTCCTATTCTGTATCCTGTGTCTGGCCTCCTATTTCCACTGCCTAGTGTGTGTGTGTGTGTGTGTGTGTGTGTGTGTGTGTGTGTGTGTGTGTGTGTGTGTGGGTGTAGGCGGGCAGCAAAGGGCCCTGTGGGCAACACTACACCCTGCTGGGCTCCCCTGGGGCACAACCCACACCACCTTCCCCCAAACATTACCCCCCCCCCAGTGTCCCCCCCCCCCCACCCACACACACAGTTTGGGTGAGCGGCCATAGTGCCTACACATGTACACACACACCCCCTCCCCCCTCTCGTGCTGTGTCACTATATGTGTCTCCTGCCCAGCCGCTGTGTCCCTACACCTGTGGCCCGCCAGGTGTGTGAGGGTGTCCCTACACCTGTGGCCCGCCAGGTGTGTGAGGGTGTCCCTACACCTGTGGCCCGCCAGGTGTGTGAGGGGTGTCCCTACACCTGTGGCCCGCCAGGTGTGTGAGGGGTGTCCCTACACCTGTGGCGCGCCAGGTGTGTGAGGGGTGTCCCTACACCTGTGGCCCGCCAGGTGTGTGAGGGGTGTCCCTACACCTGTGGCGCGCCAGGTGTGTGAGGGTGACACAAGGTGTTAAGGTGTTGGCATACTATTGGGTATCTTCTTGAGATTATCTTGAGATGATTTCGGGGCTTTAGTGTCCCCGCGGCCCGGTCCTCGACCAGGCCTCCACCCCCAGGAAGCACCCCGTGACAGCTGACTAACACCCAGGTACCTATTTTACTGCTAGGTAACAGGGGCATAGGGTGAAAGAAACTCTGCCCATTGTTTCTCGCCGGCGCCCGGGATCGAACCCGGGACCACAGGTTCACAAGTCTAGTGTGCTGTCCGCTCGGCCGACCGGCTCCCGTAGTAAATATCTGAGATATATTTCCCTTGGTATCACAGGTGTGGACAAGTGACTCAGGTGTTTATATCTGGCTTGCTGGGGGGACATATCTGCCAGGGAGAGGGAGTCACTTGTGTGTGTCTTTACTTGAGCTGGGCTTTAGCTCTTGGGTCCCGCTTCTCTACCTTGGCTTTATATAGATATGTTTGAGTATAGAGGAAAGAGTAGTGTTGGATATTAAAGAGGAACTTGAATGTGTACAACAAGTGAGGTCCGCCGCGCGTGTGGCACATATGTGCTCCAGCCTCAAGTGGAACAGCCTTGGAACATTCCAACAGAGCCAAGCCTGTAGAGGCTTGACTGCTGTCCCTACAGTCGTGTTCACTTACATTTTGAATACCTTTTCTAACAAAAAATAGAATTAATAATTTTAATTATTAAATTACTAAAACAAGTGATTTTGTAAAAATAATTTTTTGTAAGAGTCATCTAGAGAATTTGTTTACTTTTGTGTATATTCTCACTTTCCTTATATGTAAGAACGATGACTTTTATAATAACAGTTTTAGAAGCCCAAAGATCATTGTTGGCAACAATGATCTTCTTCACTCACATCTTTAATGACTTTTTCTAAACATGAAATACGAATAATATTTTTAATAAATCATTTAGTGAAAGGAGACCTTGGCTGTGAACCTGGGGGGGGGGGTAAAAATGTTCCCCCTGGGGCCTTTAGGCCTAGCTCTGGGGGTTACATTACCTTGAGGCTACCTTGAGGTGATTTCAGGGCTCGGCGACCCCGCGGCCCGGTCGTCAACCAGGCCTCCTGGTTGCTGGACTGATCAACCAGGCTGTTGGACGCGGCTGCTCGCAGCCTGACGTATGAGTCACAGCCTGGTTGATCAGGTATCCTTTGGAGGTGTTTATCAAGTTCTCTCTTGAACACTGTGAGGGGTCGGCCAGTTATGTCCCTTATGTGTAGTGGAAGAGTGTTGAACAGTCTCGGGCCTCTGATGTTGATAGAGTTCTCTCTTGAACACTGTGAGGGGTCGGTCAGTTATGTCCCTTATGTGTAGTGGAAGAGTGTTGAACAGTCTCGGGCCTCTGATGTTGATAGAGTTCTCTCTCAGAGTACCTGTTGCACCTCTGCTCTTCAACGGGGGTATTCTGCACATCCTGCCATGTCTTCTGGTCTCATGTGATGTTATTTCTGTGTGCAGGTTTGGGACCAGCCCCTCTAATATTTTCCACGTGTAAATTATTATGTATCTCTCCCACCTGCGCTCAAGAGAATACAGGTTTAGGCTCTTTAGTCGGTCCCAATAGTTTAGATGTTTTACTGAGTGGATTCTAGCAGTAAAGGATCTCTGCACGCTCTCCAGGTCAGCAATTTCTCCAGTTTTGAAAGGGGCTGTCATTGTGCAGCAGTACTCCACTCTAGAGAGCACTAGCTTCTTTCAGGGACTTTGAGCACTAGTGTTAGAAGGACTTGTAATAAAAAATAGGGAACATAAACCTGGTTATCATTCTAGTATAGAACCCGCCAGTGGCAACGGTTGAGAAACTCACAAGACAAATCAACAAAAACAGAGAACTGATAATCTTGAAACCCCCGGCGCCAATTCTCCTCCTTGGAGACGCCAGTCTACCCAGCTTAATAAGGTTCAGAATATCACACAACATTATTAACAAGAAATCAACCTGGAAATGATGGAGCACAGGTCAGAGAAGTACGTAGATCTTGAGAGACATTCTCACTCGGCCAGCAGCACGTAACTGACCCAACTAGCAACTTAAATATTCTCGCTTTGACCTTCACAAACAACTAAGAAATAACCAACATCATTACACTCTCAACTACTACGCTCTCTACAAGCTCATTAAAATGCAAACTATTATCATTAACTCGTAATAGTTGCGAAAGGATTAGCAAGCGTGCAAGGCTTAGCAAGGTGGACGGCTATTCAGTATAGTAAATTTGAACTTATTATACACCAAACTCGCGTATAAACATTACTGGCAAAGTGTGTGTCATTCATACACCAGACTGCGAGCAGCGGCGTCCAACAGCCTGGTTGACCAGGAGACCAGTTCAGAGACCGGGCCGCGGGGACGTTGACTCGTAGAAGCAACATCAGGCAGCAAATAGACACGACAGAAGAAGGAAAATAACAGAAATACTTAAAAATATGCGAGTATCCACCACCCACGAGTATCCACCACACACGAGTATCCACCACCCACGAGTATCCACCACACACGAGTATCCACCACACAGAAAATGTGTAGCATGGTGAGGGAGACTGAAGTAACCCGGCACCAGGAGGAGTGGTCACACTACACTCATGAAAATGCTAGTGGAACAGAGGGGAAAATATGTGAGAGATAAGAGATCCAAAATATACTTCCACTCACGCAAAATCAAAAAAACGTCCTCCAGCACTGGCCCTGTACTTCCACACGAAGGTTCATTCACAGAGCAAGACAAGGAAATCTGTGACACCCTCAACGGTCAGTATGAGGCAATGTATACACCACCATATAATACAATATATACACCACCATATAATACAATGTATACACCACAATATAATACAATATACACACCACAATATAATACAATATACACACCACCATATAATACAATATATACACCACCATATAATACAATGTATACACCACCATATAATACAATATATACACCACAATATAATACAATATATACACCACAATATAATACAATATATACACCACAATATAATACAATATATACACCACCATATAATACAATATATACACCACAATATAATACAATGTATACACCACAATATAATACAATATACACACCACAATATAATACAATATATACACCACCATATAATACAATATATACACCACCATATAATACAATGTATACACCACAATATAATACAATATATACACCACCATATAATACAATATATACACCACCATATAATACAATATATACACCACAATATAATACAATATATACACCACCATATAATACAATATATACACCACCATATAATACAATATATACACTACAATATAATACAATATATACACCACAACAAACAACATGAAAGTGGAAGATCCAGAGTAATCTTCACATCTTTACGAACGATATCCCAAACTCCGCCACTCAATGATATATGAACACGATCACAGCAACAGACCTTCAAAGATACACTGGCACCACGTCCACGCCCTCAGCTCCTGGTCCCGCCTCCTGGAACTCCATATTTATAAAGAAATGTAAAGTGCCAGTGGTACAAGAGCCAGGACACCCGGGAGGTGCCAGCAGTCAGCAGAGGTAACTCCACTACCCAAGAGAGGTAGTAAAGTCTTGGCTGTAAACTATGGATCCCAGTCAATAGCTGTGTACCCGCCAGAGGGCATAGTCTTGGTACCGCTGCTTTAGCCTGTTCTTAGATCGTACACTAGAGGGAGTACCCGGCGATGCCCGGGTCTCTGTCCGTGTCTCTCTCTCCCACTGACATTCTTTCTCCCGGCCTCTCCCTCTCCCTCTCTCTCTCTCCCTCTCCCTCCCTGTAGCCCCAGTAATGTTGAAACAATATTGAATCATCGATGTTTGAATAAACTAAGTGAACGTCGTGGAGGCTGAAGCAACACCTTGCGTACACAAACGTTACAAATATATCAACAAAAAACGTATGACTATGACGAGACGGTGATGGAGAGTCTTGAGCCGCGAGTTCGAGTCCTTTGCATGACCCTAATATGTTCTGAGTGTAATATCTTCGTCCGTCATGAACATGAGGTAAGACCACTGTCAAGAATATAGCCTTTAAGATGTACTTTTCTCCTTTCTTGCGTCTCATATTATGTCTCTCTCTCCAGGCACGGAACATGCAGATGACCGGACCGGAAGCCATGGCTCCACGTGGGTAGGGAACACCTCAGAGATTGGCTGTGAGACAGACCGGTTCGACCCCCGCCGGGTCTTGACACCACGGAAGGCCACGACACCACTGGGGACTGAGCCCTGGGGACTGAGCCCTGGGGACTGAGCCCTGGGGACTGAGCCCTGGGGACTGAGCTCTGGGGACTGAGCCCTGGGGACTGAGCCCTGGGGACTGAGCTCTGGGGACTGAGCCCTGGGGACTGAGCTCTGGGGACTGAGCCCTGGGGACTGAACCCTGGGGACTGAGCCCTGGGGACTGAGCCCTGGGGACTGAGCCCTGGGGACTGAACCCTGGGGACTGAGCCCTGGGGACTGAGCCCTGGGGACTGAGCCCTGGGGACTGAGCCCTGGGGACTGAACCCTGGGGACTGAGCCCTGGGGACTGAGCCCTGGGGACTGAGCTCTGGGGACTGAGCCCTGGGGACTGAGCTCTGGGGATTGAGCCCTGGGGACTGAGCCCTGGGGACTGAGCCCTGGGGACTGAGCACTATGAGATGGTGGACTCAAGTCATTCTCGGCGTGTGAGCGCGCGCGGGAACTCTCTCACCTAAACATGTCAAGATATATGGCAAGACACGACACATCTTGTCCAGACATGACACATGTGTTGTGTGCACATGACACATGTGTCATGTACACACTAACACCCTCCACTACCTATGACACATGTGTACTTAACACACACACATAAACCCAACGATAATCGCACGTCTGAGAGCAAAAGTATATTGTCTTAGTGAACATTATTATCATACTATTATTAGGTTAAGTTTTTAATTGGTAGTTTTGGGAGTCTGAAGAAGGTATATAGACTTAGCGGTGATGTTATTGGTCAAGTTAGAGAGGTAGTTAGTGTTGGTGGTAGTTACCAGTGGTGGTGGTGGTATAGTTACCAGTCACCAGTGGTGGTACCTGGTACCACGATGAAGACAATGGTACCATGAACCAAACAATGGTACCATGAACCAAACAATGGTACCATGAACCAAACAATGGTACCACTAGTTAGACATACTAACATTAATTCATACAGTGTTACCAATGAATCTTGGTATCAGTTGGGTAGTTACAGTGTTACCAGACATTGGTGGTACCCTCCCTCCCCTACTGGCCGACCACAGTGTACCCTCCCCCCCCTCAAGTGTGGTACCTTTGCTGGACGAGCAGCGGGTACCACACCTACAATGGTACCCTCTGGTATGGTACAAAGTGTCAAGCAGTCTAGGGGCGGCTCTAGTCACAGTGTAATATGTTGTACAGTGTAGTTAGTGTAGCATAGTAACCTGTAAACTGGTCTACAGTGTAGTTAGTGTAGCATAGTAACCTGTAAACTGGTCTACAGTGTAGTTAGTATAGCATAGTAACCTGTAAACTGGTCTACAGTGTAGTTAGTGTAGCATAGTGACCTGTAAACTGGTCTACAGTGTAGTTAGTGTAGCATAGTAACCTGTAAACTGGTCTACAGTGTAGTTAGTGTAGCATAGTAACCTGTAAACTGGTCTACAGTGTAGTTAGTGTAGCATAGTAACCTGTAAACTGGTCTACAGTGTAGTTAGTGTAGCATAGTAACCTGTAAACTGGTCTACAGTGTAGTTAGTGTAGCATAGTAACCTGTAAACTGGTCTACAGTGTAGCTTGAGGTAGGATGGTGACCTGTAAACTAGTCTACAGTGTAGTTTGAGGTAGGATGGTGACCTGTAAACTGGTCTACAGTGTAGCTTGGGTAGGATGGTGACCTGTAAACTGGTCTACAGTGTAGCTTGAGGTAGGATGGTGACCTGTAAACTGGTCTACAGTGTAACTTGAGGTAGGATGGTGACCTGTAAACTGGTGTGCATTGTAGCTTGGGTAGGATGGTGACCTGTAAACTAGTCTACAGTGTAGCTTGGGTAGGATGGTGACCTGTAAACTAGTCTACAGTGTAGCTTGGGTAGGATGGTGACCTGTAAACTAGTCTACAGTGTAGCTTGATGTAGGATGGTGACCTGTAAACTAGTCTACAGTGTAGCTTGAGTAGGATGGTGACCTGTAAACTAGTCTACAGTATAGCTTGAGGTAAGATGACCTGTAAACTAGTCTACAGTGTAGCTTGGGTAGGATGGTGTCCTGTAAACTGGTGTACAGTGTAGCTTGGGTAGGATGGTGACCTGTAAACTGGTGTACAGTGTAGCTTGGGAAGGATGGTGACCTGTAAACTAGTCTACAGTGTAGCTTGAGGTAGGATGGTGACCTGTAAACTAGTCTACAGTGTAGCTTGGGTAGGATGGTGACCTGTAAACTGGTGTACAGTGTAGCTTAAGGTAGGATGGTGACCTGCAAACTGGTGTACAGTGTAGCTTGGGTAGGATGGTGACCTGTAAACTAGTCTACAGTGTAGCTTGAGGTAGGATGATGACCTGTAAACTAGTGTACAGTGTAGCTTGGGTAGGATGGTGACCAGTAAACTGGTGTACAGTGTAGCTTGAGGTAGGATGATGACCTGTAAACTGGTGTACAGTGTAGCTTGGGTAGGATGGTGACCTGTAAACTAGTCTACAGTGTAGCTTGAGGTAGGATGGTGACCTGTAAACTAGTCTACAGTGTAGCTTGAGGTAGGATAATGACCTGTAAACTGATAATAAAATACAATGAATTCGAGAGGAATGTTCATTATTAAGTCCTTGTCAGTGTTGGTGATCACCAACACTGCTACAGTGTTGCCGGTGACCACCACCAACACTGCTACAGTGCTGGCGGTGACCACCACCAACACTGCTACAGTGTTGGCGGTGACCCCCACCAACACTGCTACAGTGTTGCCGGTGACCACCACCAACACTGCTACAGTGTTGGGAATGTTGTAGCGAGTTAAGCTGGTTGTAGAAGCTTATATATAGATCTTGGATCACATGATTTACTGAGAGCACAAGCAAGCTTAGAGTCAGAGGGAACCAAAGTTACAGCCCCGCTCCTGGGCCAGGTAAGTCCACTACGGGATCACCATAGCCCGTGCTACTTGGAACTTTTTGTTCCCAGTGACTGAATCTTAAAGAACAACACCAGTGAACTTTTAACTGGGTAGCAGTAGAAAAGGTTACCCTCCCCCCCCCCCCCGGGATTAAATGGATACCTCTGTGTTAATTCTTCAATGTAGAAGAATTCAATTATAACAGTAATTGTAGTAATAATTAATCTTGCTTAAATACTTATTGTAATTTAACATGATTTAGAGTAAAGAGTTAACTAATGATAGCCAAGTGTTGATGAGTTATCTTGGATGAGAACTACCTTGTCAGGATAGAGATGCCTGACTCATCATAGTCGAGGACAATGAGTATCTTCCAGATTGTTTAGTAATTCGTGTCAATTAGAGAAATCCATTTGCTATTCAATATTGTAATTAATATTAACATAAGACAAGTACCCAATGTAATTACCATCAATTTGAATAGGATTAACTTGGTTAATTAATCAGGATTACTAGTGTGGCGGAGGCGGCTTGGGTCAGTCTCAGGGAGGTCAGCACAGTTGTGAGTCAGTGTTGGGGTCATCGTGGGGTCACGACCCCCGAGGCCAGGCTCAACACCTGGCCTGGCTCTGGTAGCTAAGGTAAAAGTGGCCTTCTTGTAGTTTTTGTACCGGGTATTAAGACCCATATTGTTCCATTTCTGCTTCTAAGATAAGAAGTGTTCAGATAGCAAGTCTTCATTTAGGGAGTGTTCATTCATTGTCAAATCTATATCTTTTATTTTTTATCAATCTTGTTTACAGGTTATAGTGTTTAGTGGAATTCTAAATTAAATATTAGTGGAATATGTATTATTTTGTTGTGCTCAAGCCCCCCCCCCCCTCCATGCTATGGGTCAGGCGCCCTGTGCAGTCGGGCAAGCAACCTCAATTATTTAATACCTCAAGACAATGCCTTTGTGCTTTGATTTACACCACACATAACGTAACGTCATTCCTCCTATTCCAGTAATTGGGTGATCAACCTTCCAGGAACTAATGCGCTGATTGATTCAGCCCGTAATCAATTAGTAGTTATCGAACCTGTCAGGTGGAAGATCAGAGAGTTTGCTAGAGCTCCTGGGACCCGGTTCAGCTCTCCTGTGTGCAGCATCTGGGCGTTTTTTTATTATTATTATTATTTTCTACCACAGATGTGGCCAGACATTTACAATGCTAACCAGCATATATACATTTTCTTCTGTCCTCCATGGACAGGGTTAGGGATGTGTTAAACATATAGTTCAAGGGTTTATTGAACAATCAACCACAGAAGGTGATTCGGTGTTTTTAAAATGCTAAGCTAACCTACATACGTAAATACATACACAGATTTACGTATGCCCTACATAAAGCATTCGATGTGTCTTTTACATATCAAAGGTCTAAGATCCCGAGGATTTGACTGAATCTTACAGTAGAACTCTGGTTTCTTAAGTATAGTTAACTAATGACCAGCATTTAGCCAGTTAAGTTAATGGCTGACCAATCACCAAGAAGTACCCAACATGTACTGACCAACCACCAAGAAGTACCCAACATGTACTGACCAACCACCAAGAAGTACCCAACATGTACTGACCAACCACCAAGAAGTACCCAACATGTACTGACCAACCACCAAGAAGTACCCAACATGTACTGACCAACCACCAAGAAGTACCCAACATGTACTGGCCAATCACCAAGAAGTACCCAACATGTACTGACCAATCACCAAGAAGTTGACTTTCTATTACTGAATTTAGACAAATGGGAAGTAAGTAATTATCAAAAGAAGTCACCAAGCCGGGAAGGCTCTGTAGCTCCATAGACAAATGGGAAACTTTCTTAACGTCAACATATAAGACCTAACCTAACCTTTCCTAGCAATTCTAGGCCTAATACACGCTACCTTAGGCCTATATATATATTTAAAACACATATGTGTTACAGTTAGAAAGGTTAAATATCCCAAAATATATCCACAGGGAAATAGCAGTTAGGTTACATAGACTACGTCTTGGTTACAGATGCAACTGGGAGATTGGTGAACCCCGACAGAGAGAGTGCATCTTCTGCCAAACTGTCACAGAAAAGCCATTACTTCACTATCTTCTGGAATGTGAAGCAACCAACGACCTTAGAAGAGCTTTAAGAGTCCCCGAATCTTGTAGTAACCACCCTGAAGCATTCAATACTGCCACTCTCCTGGTCAAAAAGGTGTCCAGCAGCTGGAGACCCTCATCAATAGTGTCCAGCAGCTGGAGACCCTCATCAATAGTGTCCAGCAGCTGGAGATCCTCATCAATAGTGTCCAGCAGCTGGAGACCCTCATCAATAGTGTCCAGCAGCTGGAGACCCTCATCAACTCTGTCCAGCAGTATCCTCCCCCACGATAGCAGCCTGATGATTTAAATGCGACCTCAACACACAATACACATTTACTAAAAATAAAACACAAAAATCTACCACTTACGGGCTATTCATGCCCGTGCCACCTCTTGGGTGGCATAATCTTTATCAATCTGTGTTCCATCTCTCCCTCAATAAACCTTTTAAACCAATATATAGTCATAGTTCAGGCGTTGTTGGACCACTATTCTGCTATTGTGGCCGACATGTCCTCATCAAAACATATTGTATTCATCAATAAGTCTAGACAAAATACATGTTTGCCTAGGGAAAATGAGAGATGAGCATCTTACTCTAGATGACATCAACACCAGTCATCATCACTGCCAGCACCGAGGAGCTCATCATCTTCTACTGGAGTCCTTCGCCCGATATCTTTATCATGGCTTGCCTCCATCTTCACCTACGTCAGCCTGCAGTATCTGCCTGCAGCGTTCATTCTCAATTCCCGTGAGACAAGCGAAGGGGCTTGTCTGACGACGTCGACAGCCAATTATGGCCATTGATGCGGTCTTTGACTGGAGCTTGCAACAAGTGGCTAATATTGACGTCTTCTTGTGCCTGCCTTGTGACCAATAGTGAGACATGCCAACAGTCACAGGCTGGTTGAACCTGACATCAAGTACTCTCATTTTTCATTAATTTTTTCTTCTGCTGAAGTTTGTTGTCTGGTTGACCAGTCCAGCAACGAGGGAGGCCTGGTCGACGACCGGGCCGCGGGGTTGCTAAGCCCCGGAATCATCTCAAGGTAACCTCAAGGTAGTCAGTCCTAGTTTTACATCTGACCCCCATGCACCGTGACCCCCATGCACCGTGAACCCCATGATTCTTCTCCATTCTGGAGCCAATTAGTCTGCCCTTCTCAACCCATTAATCTGTTCCCTCCCGTCTACTGTAAATTGTAGCGAGCCCCGTCCTGTCAACCTTTCCATTCCGTCCCTTCTCACTTGCCTGTCCCTCTCTCTGTCTCTCTCTGTCTCTCTCTCTCTCTGTCTCTCTCCGTCTCTCTCAATCTCCACTAGGAAAGGTAGCAACACTGCACCTGTAGGACACCATCAACTTGAGGGCTGTTAATCTTCTTGTTTGAGGAGCTGTTCACTTGAGACAGTTAAGCAAGTCCCAGCTGTGTCTGGGTACAAGTGACAGGATAAACAACCCAGCGGGTTTTCTTCCTATTGGGGAGTGTTGTACATGTTGCTATGGCGGTGTGTCCACTCACAGGATGAGTGACGCTGCCCAATACTGTCACTATGGCCGTGTGTCCACTCACAGGATGAGTGACGCTGCCCAATACTGTCACTATGGCGGTGTGTCCACTCACAGGATGAGTGACGCTGCCCAATACTGTCACTATGGCGGTGTGTCCACTCACAGGATGAGTGGCGCTGCCCAATACTGTCACTATGGCGGTGTGTTCACTCACAGGATGAGTGACGCTGCCCAATACTGTCACTATGGCGGTGTGTCCACTCACAGGATGAGTGACGCTGCCCAATACTGTCACTATGGCGGTGTGTCCACTCACAGGATGAGTGACGCTGCCCAATACTGTCACTATGGCTGTGTGACAGGACCACCCCCCCACCCCCCGGGAACATAACTACACATCAGCGGTGGTCGTTGGGTAATTAGCATAGTTGGCATAACTAACGGTTGGTGATGTGTCTGGTGGCATTCTGTGGCACCCCCCCTAGTGCATGTTCATGACCCATCCCCCCCTAGTGTATGTTCATGACCCATCCCCCCCTAGTGTATGTTCATGACCCATCCCCCTAGTGTATGTTCATGACCCCCCCCTAGTGCATGTTCATGACCCATCCCCCCCTAGTGTATGTTCATGACCCATCCCCCCCTAGTGAATGTTCATGACCCATCCCCCCCTAGTGTATGTTCATGACCCATCCCCCCTAGTGTATGTTCATGACCCATCCCCCCTAGTGTATGTTCATGACCCATCCCCCCCTAGTGTATGTTCATGACCCATCCCCCCCTAGTGTATGTTCATGACCCATCCCCCCCTAGTGTATGTTCATGACCCATCCCCCTAGTGTATGTTCATGACCCATCCCCCCCTAGTGTATGTTCATGACCCATCCCCCTAGTGTATGTTCATGACCCATCCCCCCCTAGTGTATGTTCATGACCCATCCCCCGATAGTGTATGTTCATGACCCATCCCCCCTAGTATATGTTCATGACCCATCCCCCCCTAGTGTATGTTCATGACCCATCCCCCCTAGTATATGTTCATGACCCAT